TGGGTCTGGTTCACACGGCACGATTTTAGGAGTGTTGACCGATTTTTAAAACTTCTGTGACCATACACGAGGCAGTAAAAATACAACAGATTCTTTCGGTTCGTGTGTCCAGCCACGTAGCAGCAGCAAATCTTGCCGTGTGAGCAGGCTTTAGTACAAAATAATGTTGTGTCACAACTACAATCTACCTGCAATGCATATAGCTAGTGTAAGCGTCAAGCCCTGACTGAATGAATAGCCTTGTGTCACGTTAATGATGGATAGCTGAAAAGTTACCAGGTTTATCAACTGTGGTAGCAATTTTGCTCCAACTCTGCTATACGCTGGGGAGAAAGGGGGCGGTGCCCCCTCAAATGAAACTTGCAACAAATAACGGAACATCTGCCTTATCTGAGGTTATCCATGGTAATGTCCTCATTACTTGACTCAGGTGTGTTGAAGCAGAGACTAATCTAAAAGCTGCAGGACACCAGACATCCAGGCCTGGATTTGAGGATCATTGGTTCGTAGTTTACTTTTGTGAAGTCATCAGCTGCAACAAGCTTGAATTACATAAAGATCATCTCTGTCCTACTCAAAGTCACTGGTATAGTTTGGATAGAGCTGTGGCCTGAAAAAGAAGGCTGGTTCTGTTCTGGGACAACTGTAGAGCCTCTGGAGACAATGGTGAGAAGAAGGATTCTTCATAAAATCAAGAAAGTTACAGACAACCCTGAGCATCATCTTAATGAGACTGTCTTAGAAAACACAGTGTCTTCAGTCAGAGGCTTCTTCGGATTCGCTGTAATACAGACTGCACCAGAGATCTTTCCTGCCAACAGTCATCACCATCTACAATAACTCTTTGAAGAATCTGAATAAATGAGCCACAAAATAATTTAATTTACCTTGGTGGAAAAGAATTTTGAAATTTAAAGTAATTACAGCAACCTTTTTACAGTGCTTTCTTCTAAATATTAGAGTGATCACCGGTTTTGTGATCCCAGTCTAATAAGATGCCTGCATAGTGTATTGGTAAATTAGCCAGGATTAGTAAAAATGTACAATTATTGTTACCTTGAAAAGCATGAAAGTTGGTACAGAAGTAAAATCAGGTACTTTTTCTGATTGCCCTAGTTGATGTAGCCATTTGTTTAAAATTATTGTTTAAAATACAGGAATTTAATTTAAACCAGTACATCAGTTCTTTATTAAAATGTTCAAAACAAACTACATGTTCAGCATCCCAAAAGGTCTGGGAATCCTTTAAAATGGACATGGTTTATGGATGATGGAGTCTTGGTGGATCAGGTTCTTTCACAGGATGTAGGAGCTGTTCTCACAGTCTGAAGGATTTCATGCTTCAGAGATTCCTAAAGGACACAAAGAAATAAATATTTCATTTTAATCACTTGCTGTTAGTTGATTTTTATCAAAAATGTTTATATTATATATTCCAAGCAGGGGTGAAAGTAGGAGGGTACGGTAGGGTACTGCGTACCCCCGCTAAATCTTTTATGGGTACGCAGTACCTGCAAGAGAGGGGAAAGGCTGTCTGCTGTAAAGAATCAATGGGTTCACTGTGCAGCCATGTTGCACCCACTAATCAGCCGTGACTGATTAGTTTTTCAAGAACAATCTAAAACACGACTTAATCAGTTAATAAATAACTTTTTTCCCATTTCATATTGTTCCTGAACTGTTCGTGCTTTGCTAGAGCAGCGGTGCAATATGTCGATCGCGGAAGGTTTTGAGTTGATCTCGGCATTAGGAGACAAACTGAACGCCACCAGGACGCTGAGACCAGCACGTCCTCCTCTGGCTTATCAAAACGTTCATAACTTTATTAAACAACAACAAAAAATCAACAAAACATGTTCAAATGAATGACCCAACAACAATAATAATCTTAGTAATTATTGTTTCAATAAGGTGTTGCCCAATTCTGTGGGTTTCAGTTCCATGCCAAAATAACTAGCAGAGCAGGAATTTAAAATGAACTAATCAACCACCGCTGTGTTCAGGGAGGATTATTAATGATCGCAAAAATAAATATCAAGCCTGAAAACCTGATATCGTAACGGACTGAATGTTATGTTTTTAACGTAATCTCTGGTCGGCTTGGGGAGCGCAGGAGGTTGCCATGGCAACGGGTGTGCTTAAATGACAGGGAGAGACGGAGAGTAAAAAGGTGCGAGTGGTTTAGAGTTGATCACCTGTTCAGGTTGTTTACCTTTGTTTACCTTTGTCTTGGTGCATCACAGCCGCTGCAGTTTCTGAACGTTCAATAAACGACAAA